GGAAGAAGGGATAGGGATAGGCTGAGAAAGCTTGGTCAAGGCTCATAGATGATTGATAAATTATCAGACTAGTTTAGAAAGAAACTCACAGAGTTTGAAGTACGTGTGGATTTCCAGTAAAACCCTGTAGGAGGAAGTGAGAAAAGAGAGGTCTTCACTTCAGCCTTGACCATGTCTCCTTTTCCCTCTTTCTTTGGCTGAAAGAGGACCTTGCAGGCTCTGAGGGGTCTAGGGGATTTTGGACTTCCTATTGGTGTCCTTGAGGTAGCCTCTGATAAGTTGACAGTAGTGTCTGTATTAAGAGCTAAGGCCAGACTGGAAGTAGATTCATAGCTCCACCAGCAATCTGGAACAGTAACTATACCATGCTGAAGGGGAACTTCCTGAGTACCCCCAAAATGGGAGAAAAAGGCTTTCCAGCAACCAGGACCTGTGACTGACTCTTTTGCATGGGTGTGCTGGAGTCAATTCCTAGTGGTTTATGAGAACAAATTGTTAAAATTTTAGTGTGAGCATTTGCCTCTCAGAAATTAGTGAATGCACAAATCAGGGCTGGATTTCTTGTTTTATTGATTGTCTAAACTTAAGAACGTTAGGGAGAAAATGTTAATAACACAGATTAAACTTTATACATCTCTCCCCCTGCAAGCTGTTCAGTTGTGTTTGACTCTTGGTGACAGCCTTTGGGGTTTTCTTGGCAGAGATACTGAGGTGGTTTGCCATTTGCTTCTCCAGCTCATCTTACAAATAAGTAAACTGAGGCAAACAGGGTTAAATGACTTCCTTGGGGTCACACAGCTAATAAGTGTCTGAAGCTGGATTTGAACTCAGGACTTCCTGACTCCAAGCCTGGTACTCTATCCACTGCACCACCTAGCTGCCCAAGAGTTGATCATTAAACATTTCCCAGCATATCCCTGATCCTTTGCCATATGTACTCTCTAGTTGGAGTCCACTTTCCCCCGGACCCTGCGTGCATTTCTGGGAGATTGTATCACAGACCTTTGGGGGGTGGGGAGATGTTTTGTACTAACTGTTCTTACTATACTGCCTTAGTAAATTCTTCTTTCTCAAAGCTTCTGAAGGCTGACTGATTAAAATGATTCTCAACTGGTGATCTTGGGGAGGGAAGGAAAGCACACTGGTGGGAGCTTGAGCTCATGACATTAGAGAATCAGCCCTGATTCCCCAGGGGTACCCCTAGATCCCTGAGGGGGAAATGGAACCCTGCCCTGTGACCTGAGACTCATTTGTAAGGGTTAGAGTTGGGCTAAGGGCCCTCAGAACTCAAATGAGCTACGCTAGCAATAAGAAGTAATCAGGTCAGTGTTGGAGAAATGAAGAAATGGAGCCTTCAGCTATAGCATTTGTCTGTAGCAAAGACCATTCAGCCAGGCCAACATAGATCCAGTCTTTTTGACTCCCAGACTGTTACTTTTTCAGTCAGAGTTTGTGTTACAAGAAGAGTTCTGCAGGTTGCATTTGAGCTTGGTCCTTCTCCTTCTACCAGCCTGCTCCTGGCATTTTGAAATCCTCTGCTTAAGAAACAAGGAGAAAAATTGGAGCCTGAGGTTTTTATAGATGGAATAAATCAGGATCATACTTTATAAATCTGACAACCCAGCTTTCTAATGCACAGCTATAAGACATCACACATTGCAAAAAATGTTTCAGCAGAGCACATAAATCCATTCTATCAGACATCTATCCTATTAATTATTTCCCTCCACCGCTGAAGATCTGAAAGTGGCTGACAAAGGTGTTAAAAACTAAATCGAGACAGCTTGCCTTTGCACACAGCTTAAATGCATATTTAGAATGATTTCCACCTTTTAAATGTGTTGGGTATCATGCTATGGTGTGTAACGCCTTGGCAAGAATGACAGAGCTAATTCTATAATGCACTTTTCCATCACTTTTACGATACTTCTACATCCTTCTATGAAACACCTAATTGGCAGCTGCCCTGCTGGTCTTCCCTCTCCCCTCCACAGGGACCATCTTGTTAAATGGAATTTATGGCCAATGCTTTTTAAGTCAGTTAAATGAGATGAAATGAAAGATCTATTTTAAATGACATATAATGAAACCTTTTGTAACACAGGAAAAGTTCCATTTCTAAAAAAAATATATATTTATTTATTTTGTGGTCAGGCAAGCACTTCCTGGTGCAGCAGAGCTGGATAATGAAGTGCGGCACCCATGAGTGGCTGACCTCCTTTCTGCATGTAACTCAGCTTTAGCCTTAGCTCAGCCTAAGCTAGCCCTAGCTGAGAAGTACTGGCCTGTCCCTTAACTCCTGCTGTCCTGTTAGTTCCAGTGGGGCATGATTCTGAAGCTGATTCTGAAGCCTAAATTCAGGGATCCTAGTTTGCTTTGCAGATGGCATGCTATATTCTATGGTTCCCTTGCTCCTGATGAAAATCTTATAACACAGGTCATTGATATTTTGTTCTGGGATACAGAGGTGGTGACGAAATGTTTTATTTAAGGATGAGATGAACCACACAGCTAAGAACTGTGAGTTCTTCCAAATGACAGATGGGTGGGTCTCCAAAAGGTTCTGTGGTTTGGATAGTATTCCTCTCAAACCTTATCCAGCCTACCCAAATTTAGGAAGTTAGATTAGGAGGGAGTATGTTTCATTTTGGTTTGGGGACTGGCAGTAATCTTTGGTTTGATTTTTGATTTACTATGATAGTTTGATGGAGAATGCAGGGATTGATAAATCTCATATTCTAAGACCCAGAAAATAAGGTAAAGTGAATGGAATATATTCCTTCCCCCAATCTCCCCCCAATTTGCCCCATTTTTGAGCCTGACCCAGTTCCACAGAAGCCGAGGGATTAATTTCCACTGCAGTGGTTTTGGGAAATCTGTTTCAGTCCTCAATCTTTCCTTGTTCTGATGGTTCTGGGGAGATAAGATTTCTTCTAGGGTCTCCATTTCTTTCCCACCCCACACTCCAGCCAATATATTAGTGTCAATAGGTTAGCCAATAGAGATCTGGGCTATTCCTTGAATAGGAGAGGGAAAGGATGGAAGATTCTTGACCAAATTAATCTTAAGCAAACTGACTCTGACTGAGTTTATCTTGGGAAAATTGGTCACTGAGTGACTGAGACATTAGGCAGAGAGACCTGAGAGGCAGAGAGACCCAAGAGGCAAGAGAATACAGCGAGATGAAAATGTTTTCATCCTTATGTCGGGTCCATTAAAGAATAATCGGAACCCCTTGTGAGTAATTTACAGACCATCTGTGGGCATTTGTACTGGAGATGACATAGGAGTAGCCCTCGCCCCAAATCAATCAGGATTAATACTGTAGGCCTCTTCTGCTCAGAACTAGGCTGCACTCAACATTCTTTTCTTTAGGGTTAGAACTAGACCAGCTTCAATGGGCATGCAAATTCCATTCTACTACTTTGCAATCTGCTGGCTAGGGATGGCCAAGGAATTCTAGCTTTCATTCTTCTCTATTTTACCTGCCAGGTTCTTACTCTTTTGTTCTCTCTATCTTCCTCCACCTCCAATCTAATTTCCGCTTTCATAACAAATGCTCTTAAGACCACATTTTCCATCGAATATTAAGTCCAGAAGGAGTTGAAATTGGAATTTTTAGCCTCCTTTTTCCTCAAAGTTACGTGCATGAAAAGCATTCCATTTGACTTGGGTGGGATAGTGGAACAAAACCAAACCAAACTCATTTGAATGGCGAATCTGGGGTGAGAAAAATTTCTCAAGAAGTCAAAGAGGGAGGACTATGGCCTTAACTACAAGGAATGTGGTTGGGAGTTTAAACTAGTTAATCATCTATGGATTCTGCAAGGGATGCGACAACTTGGATCTGGCTGTCATGTCCCCCTTGTTTTTGTCACTGAGCCCATCACACATTGCATTTCCCCTTACCTGAAAATATTCTGACCCCTAGTCTGGTCCAAACTATATCCTTCCCCTCTTTTGAAATCAGCAACAACTTTCTCTATGGACACCATTTAACTGCACATGCTCCAGTCACTCCATCAAAATCCATCAAAAATCCATCAAAATCCATCAAAAGTGCTTTCATATGTGTATATCATATATGTTTGTGTGTACATTTCTGTGATTTTCATTTGTGTAGTTTTCCATATCCTGATGTCCTCATTGTAGTTTATAAACTGTGTAACTCATAGGCAAGTCATCATTTAACTTTTTTTTCTTATCTATAAAATTAGGAAAATAATACTTTTTCACCACTTCTAGGGTCATTGTAAGGAAAGCCATCATAACTATGAAGCACTTTGTGAACATTATATATATATATATGTATATATAAATACACACATATACACATATGTACATATATGTTTTTTGACACTGTTGTTACGAAGCCACTTGAAAGCAAAGATCGTTCTATCCAACAATCTTTGGAAAACTTATTTTGAAAATCTGTCTAAAAACTGAACGAATATTATTTTGTCTATTATAAATACTCAAATTAACTCTAAAGGACATATGAAGATGCTATCTGCATCCAGAGAAAGAACTGATATATAGAAGTATGTATAGAATAATTATATATATGTATATATTATATACCTATTTGTGTGTAATGGTAGCCATCTCTAGGGTGGGTGGGAGGAAGGGAAGAAAAAAGGAAATTTGCATGATAATTTTTTTTGTATATTTGAAAAGAATAGCAATTTGTGCATAGTATATTTGCACCTTCATGTACGTCATATTTTTATTGTATTATGTTATGGAAATACTTGTTTAATTTCATAAATTAAAACATTTTTTGAAAGGAGTCTATCAAGCTCAATCCTAAGTGTCACTGGGTTTGGGAAAATGCTTTATGATAGTTATCCGTCTGTCATACATTTCCAACCTGAAATTGTAACCACTGGCTGTATCTCCTTGATTACAAATAAAAAATGAATCAGCAAGAATTTATTAAGCACCTGCTATGTGCCAAGCACTGTGCTGGCTGCTATAGATTCAAAGACAAAGCAAAATAGTTCCTGCTCTCAGAGTTTATATTCTATTGGGGAAAAGGAACATGATATACAGGAGTGACAAAAAGAGACACAAAGTAATTGTTTTCAGGGAGGCACTAAAAGCTGGAGAGATCAGGATATTCGCAACAAAATTTGAAACAGTAAGAAGTCCAGTTTGGCTGAACTTTCAAGTGTGAGAAGGGGAGGGATATGTTAAAAGGCTGGAAAAGTAAATGGGGGAGGGCAGGTTGTGAAGAGCTTTGAATGTCAAAAAGAGAGGTTTATATTTGCTCTTAGAGGTAAGTAATAGGGAGCTATTGGAGTTTATGGAGTTCAAGGATGACATAGGCAGACCTGAACTTTAGAAAAATTGCTTCCGCAGCTGGTGGAGGATGGATGGAAGAGAGGAGGAAACTTGAGGCAGGGAGACCGATTAAGTGTCTTACCAGAATAGTTCTGGCAAAAGGTGGTGATTTTACTTAGGCAGACACATGGACAGTAACCCCGACTGAAGGCAGGTTGTCTGTGTTTTAGCCTGAGGACTGCTAGAGTGAGTGGCCATGTGTACATATTTGCCCTAAGTAATTTAGAGGAATGTATTGTATCAGTCACAAAATCCTATGTAGTTTTTAGAAGGGATTTTGTGTTAAGTAAGGACACAGGAAGAAAAATCCTTCTTTGTTATTAGAATGACTGTTCCTGAGAAATCCACTGAGGACCCTAGAGGCGGTCCCGATACTTTCTATGAAGGGTGCCTATTTGAGGCTGAGAAATGTACCCAAGTTCAGCTTGGCTTCAATCCAGTTTGCCTTGGGAGAAATGGTCATTGAGCGTGTGAGACATTGAGCAGAATGACCTTAGAGGCAAGAGAATATAGCTAGATGGAATTTTTGTCGTTTTTATGTTTCCCCCTTCCTCTGTTACTTTCATAGTTTTCCTGCAGGCTGCCATGAAAGAAAATAAATGTATTTCCTTATGTTCTTAAAAAAAACAAAACAAAACAAAACAAAAAAAAAATTGGGATTGTTGGCTCAGGACCAAGACCCCTGCCTCAATAGTGTCCCTGTGCTGTTATCCATTTGATCTCCACCCTTCTCATGTGCATGCCATCTTCACCAATCTCCTTGTGGCACAGTTGTAAATATTGGCCTCTGCTTCAGACGCCCTGACCAAGCTCAAGGCTGGATTATGTCCATCTCTGTCCACAACTTTCCTCTGGAGTAGCTTCTCTCACTCCTGCTGCTGAACTGCTGCTGGATTCCAAATCGCCTGGGAGAGATCCGCAGTTCAATGGCGGGATGACATCAGTGATGAAATAGTTCCTAAAGATACAGAGCCAAGTCTTCAAACATGATCTCGGAAGTAGGACGAGTACATTTTGTTTCTAAGCTTCAAATCAGAGAACTGTGTGGCCAGTGAAGCCTGTGCCAAGTTTTATTTGCGCAACTTTCAGAAGCTGGTTTCAAAATGGGGTTCAAGAATTTGCCAAAGGCTTTGGAACACACATACTAACACGGAGAGCCCTTATTACTAAAATCAGTGTTACCCATTATTTGTCAAGATGGGGCCCTGGATGAATGGCTCTTTGGAGTAATGCCTAACTATAAATGTCTCTTATTGTTGTTGTTGTTTGGGGGAGGGGGTACTGCCTATTAAAGAGAAATTCTTTTTCACCTCCAGACTCCTAGCTGCTAGGACAATAGAAAGAAAAAAGGAATTCATAGAGTCAGAACAGTTGTAAGATTTTTAGCTAGAAGGTACCTGGAGATTCTGTAGATTCATAGATTTAGAGCCGAAATTAGAGGTCATTCAGTCCAGCACCCTCCTTTTGCATATGAGAAAACTGAGAAGTGGCCTGCCTGAGGTCACAAAGGTTAAGTGGCAGAGCCAGGCTTGAAAGCAGATCCTCCGGCTATGACTCCAGCTCTCTTCCCCACTATACCAAGCTTCCGAATCCCTTTACTTTTATCATTGAAAAATCTTTTCTGAGAGTGGTTCACCAAATTCTCCAGAGTTACACAAGCAATATATTTAGAATTCAAATCCAAATACTTTGATTCCCAAAGTGTGTGTGAGTACACACATGTGAGCCTATGTATTGAGAAAAAAATAACAAAAAGAAAAGGAGAGCTATAATCCTTCACTTTTCTTTTTGGCCTCTTTAATTACCAAAGGAAAGCTTAACATTAAATGCCTACTATGTGCTTTCAATAATTGTATAACCCTTTGGTCTAGCCATAGACATCAACTCAACTATAAGGTGAAGATTCCTAGTTGTATAACTACGTACCCACTTAGGAGCTAACGCCTTAATTTCCCTGGTTCAAAGCATCATTTCGAATATATGCTAATTTTCAGCCTTCTGCCCTCAGAAATGATCATCTTGTGTTCCTTGGGAACCTCTACATCTTTATGAATCCCTAGCTAGCCTGGTGGTAGCTAACTGTTACCAACATATTTTTTGTTTCCTTTCTGTAAATGAAAAAGCTGTTAGCCCTAGTCAGCAAAGAGCTGGCAGCCTAGATCTGTGGTAGCATAGTGTCGATCAAAGAAGAGGGAGGGGAAGAGAAGGGAATAAAGATTTATTAAGTACCTACTATGCGTCAGGAACTGTGCCAAGAGCTTTACAAATATCTGATTTCATCCTTATAGCAACCATGGGAGGTAGGTGCTATTATAATCCCCATTTTCTAGTTGAGGGAACTGAGGCAGATACAGGTTAAGTGACTTGCCCAAGGTCACACAAACTAGTTAGTGTCTGAGGTCAGGTTTGGATTCAGGAGCTCTGGGTTTGTAGACTGAAGACCTCGGTTCTAGTCTTGTTTTGATGAGTCATTCAATCTCTTTAAGCATCAGTTTCCTCAGCTGTAAAACAGGAATAATAATACCTGATTTATCACACAGGCTGAGACAGTGTATGTAACAAAGTTATCATTGCTCTTTTGCTTTTGAAATCACGTTCTATATATTTAGCATTTACATGTCTGAAGACACACTCCCCAGAATAACATAAACTTCTGGAGGGCAGAGGTCACCTCAGTTCTATTTCTATATTCCCAGTTCCAGCATTGTGCCTTGCACACAATAGGCATTTAATAAATGTTTGTCAATGTAGGGTAGAGGGTTTGAATTGGAGGATTTCTGAAGCTGGGCAGGTGCAGTTTGACTCCAGGGCAAGGGATGTGTGTGCTCTGTTGTGGTTGTTCACTCATCTCAGTTGTGCCCAACTCCTTGTGATCCCATTTGGGGTTTCCTTGACAAAGACACTGGAGGGATTTGCCATTTGCTTCTCCAGCTCATTTTATAGATGAGGAAACTGAGGCAAACAGGGTGAAGTGACTAGTCACACAGCTAGTAAATGTCTGAGGCTGGATTTGAACTCAGGTCTTCCTGTCTCCAGGTCCGTCACTCTATCCAACGTGCCACTTGATGTTCCCTGACCACATACTAATGGGCAATCTTTTAACCAGGAGCCAGCACACATTGTCCCTCCCTATGGAGCCAAAGGTCACATGCCCAGCTCCAGGGGAAGTGTTCCATTTCATACCCGTCCCTTCTAATTGAATGGAAAGACCTTTGAAAATGTTAATACATTATAAATTTATATAACATATAAATTACTATTCTTATCTGTTTTCCTGATATCAGCAAATATTTGATATGACTGCTATAAAACAGCAGATCAAAGTTGAAGTTTGGGGTCATGCGGATGAAGGCAATACGTTGAAAGGGAAGCTGTCTCATGAAGAAATCTTTACTTAGAATCTGGGGAGGAACATATGCAGGTCCTGGGAATGTACCCTATGAATGGCATTCGGAAGATGCCAAATAAGCACGCCAGTGGCAGAAAGTTTGTGCAAGACCATCACCCAAGGAACACTTCTGGGTTCTTCCTGGAACCTGATGAAAGACTAAAGAACCTTATCGGGTTGATTACACCCGCTTCCAACTAATACTCTGAAAGCCCATTCCTGTGTGTGTAAAGGGTCACATTGTAAGACTTGGAAAGCATGCTTGTTTCTCCTGTTTAGACATCTGCTTGAGACATAAGGAGGCACAATTCCTTAGGGAGATAAGAGGGCCTGAAACTCAGGTCAGCACAGAGGACAACAGCTGAATAGGACCACAAAAAGGCAGCCAGTCTGGGAGAGAAGAGTGCCTAAATACAGATGGCTCAGACAGCAGCCCTGGACAGCTCTTTGGGGATGATGCCAGGCACTGGGGTTAGCCCCGATGGGATTTTTTTAAGAAATCCATCCAGGAACATTTTAAGAAGGCTTATTGCAACTATCTTTCAAAACATCATTGAAGGTGATACTGTTATCTGAATCCTAGGTTTGATTGACCTCCAAAAGGTCACATGGGAAAGCATGCTTGACCCAGATATTAAGAATAGGAAGGCTCTTTTCTCTTGAGACAGGTGGGTTATAACATTCCCTGGCAGACTGACCTTGTGTACATCATGTCCCAAGCAACCTAATGCATTTTTCCTCTGCGTTCTTGTGAATCAGAAGCATAACAGGTCCATTCTGTTTCCAGCTCTCCTCCTGCCATATCCTGCTTCCATGTATCCCCACTGGATGTCCCTAATGCCTGGGAAACACTCTTTCCCCATCCCTTCCTGAGGAAATCTTTCTATCCCTTCAAGGGTTAGCTCAAATACCATTTCCTTCATGAGGCCTTCCATGATTCCCCACAGGTGAAAGTGCCGTCTTGCTCCTCAAATCTACCTAGAGGGCTTAAGTCTGGATTCTCTTCTTTTCTCCTATTGGACCATACCTTGCATTGTATTTATTTGTGTCCACGTTGTATCCTCTATTTCTCACACATGCTCAACACCTGGCACAATACCTTAGCTATCCCTTCTCCCTTCCCTCTGTCTATAACATTGGCACAGGAAACTCCACTGTGAAGAAACTCTCTCTCTGAATTCCTATTGGCAAATGTTCTGTAATTTGTAGTTTTAGAGAGATTTTTGTAGGTTTTTTTTTTTTTTTGTAAATAATTTGAAGTTTTAGAGGGCACTCAGAAGTTAAATGACTTACCCAGAGTCACATAGCCAGGACATGGCTCTCCATTCTGAGTCAATCAGTCAACTAACATAGATTAGCATGTGTCAAGTGCTGGGGTTACAGAGAAAGGCAATAGCCAATCACTGCTCTCAAGGGGATCAGTCAAGGGAGAGACAACTGTGACCAAAGAAGGCACGTCCAGAAAATGGGTTCTGAGGCCAGTTCTCCACTGAGTACATTACCCTGCCTTTCTTCATGGACAAGTTGTTTGGCAAAATGGATTTCTTTTTCTCTTCCAAAACATCTCCATTTTCAATGAGTTCTCTTTTCTTTCCTAGGCTCATTAACTTACCTTATCAAATCTCTTCTGTCTCTTCTGTCTTTCCCCTTTCCTCCTCTCTGTGGCTGACGGCTACAGACACCGGTGAAACCAGGGCTGACAGCTTCTTCTGGTTCTCAGGCCCAAGTGTTTTGGCAACTGTCATTTCCTGACTTCCCTTGTTTTATCTAGATAAATTAGTTCTCAGATGACCTCTGCACCACTATTTCAACATTGTGGTTTCCACTTGGCAAATAGTAGATGGCGGCACAGAGATGTTATGTGACTCACTATAGGTTGCACAGCAGACCATGGGAAGGCAGCGATGGAAACCAGAAGCTTTAGATAAGATTGTGTAGTGAGATAATACCTACCCAATATAGGGCTTTAGCACTTTATAAGTAAAATCCCCACATTTCCACTCCTATGGCAATAGAAAACATGGGTCAAGGGGATCTCTGAGCCATCTTCTAGCAATCTACTTCCTGTAAAACACAGTATCTCCTCCTCCTTCCCCCAACCAAATGTATTTTTGAACACTTTTCCCCATATCTAGGTCAAAACAAAGAATAAAACTTCACTAATTCAGACTGGTTGGGAGAAAACCAGTCTGGATAATAGAATTTATAAAACACAATTTTGTTCCTGTCAGGTACATACATTGCTTTATTAAATGCTGACACAGTATTAGTAGGCAATGGTCTCTGGGGGCCCAGTGTAATAAGTAAGAGGAGAATAAGATCCATCTGTGATTAGACACTAGCTGTATGCAAAAAAATATGCTGCTAACACGCTTCAAAGCAGATACCAGTCAGTCAGACCCAGACCTCGCAGCACCAGGGCGATGCTGAGGCTGATAGCGGTACATGAGCTCGTTAATCCGAGGGAGGCCTTCCCCAGTGCTCTGGGGCACATTTCCCATGGTTTATTAAAGCTGGTTGGTGCCTAGTGCCTAATCTCTTTTAGATTTGCCCTAATTGCTTTCAGGCCATGTACCTCTGGACCTATTATTAGTTTGCACATCTATGATAATTGCCCTTCTTTTAAAGAGGAAAACGAGGACTGGATGTTGCTTAGTGCTTGCAGCTGGTCTGGTTAAGGCTCAGTGGGATCTGGCTGAGCAGAGGAGGCCTTGCTGCGGTCAGCCTGCTGCTGGGGAGCTTCAACCGGCCTGGATACCCAGCTAGGAGGCTAAATCACGGAAGGCTAAATCAGACACACCTGTGTGTTCTGCAATGCAGCCGGCACGAGATGGCGCAGATTGGTTTCTCAGCCACAGAGAACACCCTTTGACATTGGACCAATTTACTCACTCTAGGTTGGGAAGGGACGCTTACCCCAAAGGCTAGCCGAACTCAACTTGGTCAATGAAAATTGGCTTTATGTCCTAGTTCTCAATCCCTACATCTCTTGTCTTAGTGATAATCCCTCAGTTTCTCTTACTTTTATCCTTAAGGTGAGAGGCTATAGCAGGTTAAGTGCTGGACCCGGAGCAAGTCATTGAACCATTTAGTGCTGCAGCCAATTAACTCTCTTCAGAGGTCATCTAGTACAAGTAAGTTGCAGTTGGATTGCTGATTGATATCGTTGGAGGGTCTTTCCTCACTAGGACTTCCCTACCTCAATGAAGTCATATGTTTAGTAGGATTATGTCGTGCTAGAAAGGACCTGAGTGGGCTGTTAAGTTGACTCCTCTCATTTTATAGATGGGGAAACTGAGGCTGAGAGTTGTGATTTGTGCAGGGTTATGCAACTAGTAGGTGTCTGAGATAGGATTTGACTCCATGTGTTTCCAAGTCTAGTGCCCCATCCATCATGCCATGCTTTCTCTACAACCAACAATAGATCAACAATCAATTAATAATAAACAATTTGCATAAATATATACTATATTTACATAATAATATTTTACATTTTCATATCTTACATAATAATATTTGTATACATAAATATTTTATGTAAAAATGAAAAAAAATTAGTACCAACTAACCAACCTATAAGGGCACCTATCTCATCCCTAACCCTCTCTTCCTTTCTACAGGAGGGGTTGAATCTCAGTTTTCGAGTATCCCCTTCCAATTTATTTCCTTTAGTTTAGTTTTGTATCTTAAGAGATGCTTGCCAAAAGTCTCTTTTTTATTTTCTCCTAGGCAGCTTGAACCTTTCATAAGTCGTTACCTCACAGAAACTTCTTCAGGGTAAGAAGCCTCTCAAATACCTGTTAGTCATTGTGAGGAGAGGAAGTAGGATTGGGCTAGATGCCCTCCGAGGTCCCTTCCAGCACTGAGTTTCTGCGACAAGTGTTCTTGTCTATTGTCGAAATGTCTATATGCATTTCTATGCATGAAAGTCTTAGTGACTGTCACTTATAATAATATACATTTATATGGGGCTTTAAGGTTTGCAAAACATTTTTCATACATTAACTCATTTTATCTTCACAACAATCCTGGGAGGTATCTGCTTTTATTTTTCTCATTTTATTGATCAGGAAACTGAGGCTAGGAGAGGTTAAATGCCCAAGGTCACACTGCAAAAAGCATTTCAAGCTGGGTTAGAACCCTGGTCTTCCCGATTCAAATCTGCTGCTATGTCTACTACGGCAAGCACCTCTCCTCTGTGATGCCATTGAGTATTCTTAGCAGTTATAGGGGGTGATTTTTATATTTCAGTATTGTTCTCATTTGCTAATAGCTAATGGGTGAAGAGAAGACATTTTCCTGTTTTTGGCACAACCAAGATTACCACTTCTTTCCAGCAGAGAAGAACTTTGAGGCATTCATTGTTAGTCTTGCTTTGAACTTGGATTCTTCAGTGTTTCAAGGGCAGAGATCCTGAGAGAAAGCAACTGCAGACAACATAACAGGGTCATGAGGCTGCTAAATGTCAGGAAAAATCTTCTAGTACTGATGTCTGCTAGACTGGATTTGCCTTCAAAAGAGAGAAGTGTGAAGTCCCTGGAAATAATGGAGAATATGATAAAGTAAACCATTTCCTAGTCACTGTTGGGAGAAGGGTGAAATAACTTAGCTGGCCTCTGTTTCTTTCATCTCCCCCACATAGACACCTTTGTCCATAGATATCCTGAATGAACTACATAAAAATGAGTTCTATTGCTTGAGACAATTTTCTTTCCCACTGATTTCTTTTCTTTCCCACTAATCTTTTACAAATCAAGTTGCCAAGAGAAAAAGAAAGTTCTTTGAGCTTTTCCCAAGATAAGCATCAAGAGATCTAACACCAAGATAACTAAGTATCTCTTTGCCTACTTAGATGTGAGGCCTTGTAAGTTAGAGATCCTAGTAGGAGATGTAGGGCCTTACAGAGAACCCACATCTTCCATGTTGAATATATTCATAAATGAGAAACCTAATTTCTTTATTTTTTTTGCATTTATTCATTTATTCAACTATGTGCCCCACACTGTTATAGGAGGCCCTGTGGGCCTTACAAAAAGTAGGATTATAAGGCTCAGTTGCGTCCTTAACGATGGACTTCACTGAGTAGTAAAAAGAACGATTTTAGGCGGGCATTCCTGATTCTACCACTGTCCACATGGGGCCTTTCCCACACTATCCACTCCCCTACCAGTCCCACCCTGTGCCTGTGCCTCAGCTTCCTAATTTGCAAAACAAAGATGGTAGGACCTCCTTTTTTTTTTTTTGAACTGGCAGACAAAAAAAATATTTTTAAATGTTTTTTTGTTTTCAACATTTACTTCCACAAGATTTTGAGTTCCAAATTTTCACCACATCTCGCCCCTCCCCCCACCCCAAGATGGCATACATTCTGAATACCCCTTCCCCTAGTCTGCCTTCCCTTCTATCTCTCTCTCCCTTCTCTTATCCCCTTCCCCTTCAATTTTCCTGTAGGGCAGGATGGATTTCTGTACCCCATTTCCTGTATTTCTTATTTCCCAATTGCATATGAAAACATTTTTTTTTAAACATGTGTTTTTAAAACTTTGGATTCCAAATTTTCTCCCTTCCTCCCTCCCCACCCATCCTCATTGATAAGGCAAGCAACTAAATATAGGTTATATATGTGCAGTTATGCAAAACACTTCCATAGTAGACATGCTGTGAAAAACTAACTCTGTTTCCCTTAATCCTATCCCGCCCACCCATTTATTCTATTCTTTCTTTTGACCCTGTCCCTCCTCAGAAGTATTTGCTTCTGATTACTCCCTTTCCCAATCTGCCCTCCTCTCTATCATTCCCCTACTCTCTTGTCCTCTTCCCTCCCTATTTTCCTGTAGGGTAAGACAGATTTCCACACTCAATTGAGTGTGTATGTTATTCCTTCCTTAAGTCAAATCCTATGAGAATAAGATTCACTCATTCCCTCTCACTTTCCCCCATTTCCCCTCCACTGTAAGAGCCTTTTCTTTTCTGTTTTTTTTTTTTTGTGGGATAATTTACCCTGTTCAACCTCTCCCTTTCTCCTTCTCCTACTATATTCCTCTCTCACCCCTTAATTTTATTCTCCAGATATGACCCCTTCATTTTCAACTTACCCTGTGCCCTCTATCTATCTATATATACGTACATATAATTTTTTCCCCTCCATCTACCCTAATACTGACAAAGGTCTCTTGAGTTACAAATATCATTTTTCCATGCAGGAATGTAAACAGTTCAACCTTAATAAGTCTCCTATGATTTTCTCTTTCCTGTTTACCTCTTCATGTTTCATTTGAGTCTTGTATTTGAAAATCAAATTTTCTATTCAACTCTGGTCTTTTCATCAAGAATGCTTGACAGTCCTCTATTTCACTGAATGACAATTTTTTCCCCTGCAAGATTATACTCAGTTTTGCTGGGTAGGTGATTCTTGGTTGTAATCGTATCTCCTTTGCTCTCCAGAATATTATATTCCATGCCCTGCAGTCCCTTAATGTAGAAGCAGCTAAATCTTGTGTTATCCTGATTGTGTTTCCATAATACTTGAATTGTTTCTTTCTGGCTGCTTGTAATATTTTCTCCTTGACCTGGGAATTCTGGAATTTGGCTACAATATTCCTAGGAGTTTTCTTTTGGGGATCTTTTTCAGGAGGAGATCGGTGGATTCTTTCCATTTCTATTTTACCCTCTGGTTCTAAAATATCAGGCCAGTTTTCCTTGATAATTTCTTGAAACATGATGTCTAG